ACCACAGTTAGTTTAGCTGTACCCCAGTAAATGGACATCTACTTTGTTTCCAGTTCTTTGCCCCCACAAAAAGGGCTGCCATAAATGTTTGGGCGTATAAAGCTATACCTCTGCCTCTTGGTTTCTCTAGGTTTCTTCTAGGTTCAGCTCAGATTCTACCTTCTGTAGGAAGGATCTAGTGAGTCAATCAACTGACACTTGTTAAGCATCTACTAAATGTGCCAAGCACTCTGCTAGGCACCAGGAATACAAAAGAAAAAAAGGCAAAAGATAAGTCTCTGCCCTCAAGGAGCTCACAGTCTAATGGGAAGACAACGCTCAATCAACAATGTACAAATGATTTATATGGGAAAAGTTGGGGGTAGTAACAGTGGAAAGGCACTGAGATGGTGGGAATTCAGCTGGTAATTGAAGGAAGTTGGGGCGGGGTGATGAGTAGGGAAAGAATTCTAGGCATGGGGGACAGGCAGTGAAAATGATCAGAGTTGGGAGAGCAAACGTCTTGTAAGCAGGGAGGCCAGTGTCACTGGACCAAAAGTATGTGTCTGTCCCTCTAAGCTTACCCTCTAACTGCTTGGTATGTATTTTGTACGTGTGCTTTGTGTAAGGACAGATATCTCCCTGTTTAGAATGGAAGCTTCTCAGTCTTGGTACCCTACCCCCATGGCACAAAGAAGATGCTTCACATTGGAGCCAGAGATCTAGGGTTCAACTTTTATATCTCAAGTTTACTGCCTTGGTAAGACACGTAGCCTCCTTCTGAGTTTCCTCATCTAAAAAAATGATGGGGTGGTCCGTGGCTTTAGATCTGTGATCCTATGAAACCATCATACTTTAACTCCATTAATTCCTCCAATTCCAGTGAAACTACAAATGGCTTAGGAGTTGTTGTTGAGTCATTTTTCAGTTGTATCTGACTCTTCATGACCCCATTTGGGGTTTTCTTGGGAAAGATACTGGAGTGATTTGCCATTTCCTCTCCAACTCATTTTACTGATGAGGAAACTGAGGCAAACAGGGTTGAGTGACTTGCCCAGGGTCACACAGCGAGCAGGTTTCTGAGACTGAATTTGAACTCAGGAAGATGTGTCTTCCTGACTCCAGGCTGGGTGCTCTGTGCACTATGGTGCCATTTAGCAGCCCAAACTTAGGAGTTCAAGTGATGATAATTTACAGAATTTTGGAGTTGGAAGGGACCTCAAAGTCATCTAGCCCACCCAGTTTCATTAAATGAAAGGTGTTTATTCCAAGTTAAATTTTGGAAGGTCTATTCCACATCTCGATATTCCTCCCATGACTATTTATATTATTTCTTTAAGTCTTTTAGGTGAACGTTCTCAATCAGTTTTCATCTGATGGCAAAGGACTTTCAAACATAGGCTAAGTCAGAAGTCTATAAGGTAGTTTTGGAAGAATATAGATCATAGGATTTCAAAATATAAAGGAACTCAGAGGTCACCTGGAAACTGATTCGTGGAATTTTACATTTGGAAGGGACCTCAGTGACCCTTCGGTTTTATCTATTCCCACAAAGAATGTCCATTATCACTTCCCAGGCAAGTGGTCCAGTCTTTGCTTGAAACCCCCCCTCCAAGGATAAGGACCCCCTTGCCACCTCCTTAGACAGCCCATTCCTCTGCTGGACAACTGTGATTGTTAGAAAATTTTACTTGACCCCCAAGTATAAATTGACTTCTTTGCATCTTCTACCCATTGCGTTTTGATCCCAAACAGAACAAAATCTAATTCTCCACCCCCCACCCCTGCCCATGACAGCCCTTCAAATACTTTGAAATAGCTAACATGACCTCTCTGAGTCTTTTCTTCAGCAGGTGAGACATGCCCAGATTCTTTAACTGATTCTGTTACATCATGGCCTCATGGACTCAAGCCTTTGATCATTCTGGCTGCTCTCCTCTGGACATTTTCCATCTCATCAATGCCATTCAGAAACTGTTGTATCCAGAATTGAACACAGTACTCCAGATATAGTCAGATCAGGCTCTTATTCTGGAAGCTTCGGCCGCCCCATGCAGGCCAAGCTAATCTCTGTTTTTTGTTTTGTTTTGTTTTGTTTTTTGGCTGCCACATCATATTACTGATCCATGATGTTTCACCTAAAACGTCCAAATCTTGTTCAGATCAACTGCTGTCCCACTCGACTTCCAACATCTTGTACTTGACAAGCTGATTTTTGTGAATCCAAGTATGACTTTATATTTATCCCTATTGGGGTTCATCTTATTAGATTCAACCCAATGAATCAACTAGTCTGTCAAGATCTTTTTGTATCCTGACTCTGTCGGCCAGGGTGTTAGCGATTCCTCCAGCTTCATGTTATCTGCAAATGTGCTGAACATGCCGTCATCTATCCAGTCATCCGAGTCGTGGATAAAAACCTTCAGTATCACAGGATCAGGCACAGATCCTGTGGGTACACTAGTAGAGACCTCTAACCAAGGGGGCATTGAGCCACCAAAAATGACTCTTTGGGTCTAACCATTTAATCAGTTCTATACCCCCGTATTGTATCCCCCTATTGTCACCATTTATTTTGATTAATCTTCTTCTGACCCTGTCATGTCTTTTACACTCACATGACATAATCAAAGTTCATTAGAATAGAATAGGTCCTCATTGGAATATTCATTCTCTCTCATTACTGTTAACCAATCAGAGTTGATTGCCACCCTCAGGAACACCCACTCTTCCAAGGGCATATACACTGTGATCCTACCTCCATGAGGGGACTTTGGCATTCAAGAGTGCCACTGACCTCTTTTATTAATAAAATGCTACCATTATTAATAAAATGATTATGTCTCTTGAACTTTTTTCAACACCACAATACTCATGAGGTCCATTTTGTCTCCCTGTGTTGGATGTCTGCTTTCTCTTGCTGGTTGCCTAAACATTCAACATATGCATTTAGAAATATGAGACCACGAGTTTTATTTCTGGCTTTACTCTTAGATTTTGTTTAGTGTTAACTCCTGGGCATCTTGACTGAGATTCTTCCTCCTTCATTGTGGTCATTCTCTATGGTATCTAGCTTGCAGGGTATGCTTTAAGAAAGGATTGCTTTCAATTTTTGTGGGGGGCTGAAGATTCTTCACTCTCTGCTCTCCTTGGTATCTATAAAATATTAATGTGAAGTTATGTGAATAGCTTTGAGCTATTATAGCTTAAAATTATATTAAAGCTTTTGGGATGTGCTGTATTTGAGTGTAAAAGGGGACTGGCCAATGAGAGACCAGCCCTTTGTGATCACATGCAGCCTGCTTGGTTGATGAAATCTTCCATGTGGACTTCAAACTGTGGGCAGGTTTTTTATGACCATTTCCTATCTGCCTACCACATAGGCTGGTCTCTTAATTGGCTGTGGAGTTGGAACTAAGTGTGTAAACAAAAGACTCCCATGGGAGCACATTTTCCTTCTTGATGGTAAACAAGGGAGATAAGCTTCTGAGAGACCCTGAATGAAGAAGGAGCCTCAGGCCCTCTCCCTCCAAGAGCCACATAAAGCCTCCAGCTCATGGCCCTGTTCCTGGGGAGAGAGGACAGAGTCCTAGCATCACTGGTTTATTCTCCCTACCAGAGTAGATGTGGCACCATGAGCACTTCGCCCTGCTATTACTTCTGTCCAAGTTGTTTTTATTATTTCCTGACTTAAATGAAGAAATATTGGAGACAGAATGAACTAGGCTGGGACCTTGTGTGCTTTGAGAGGTCATAGAAACTAGCCACCCGAGCCCCAGTGACGGGAGTCCATGCCAGTTTGTGGTCAGATGAGTAGGGCGAAGAGTGAAGCCTGGAGCAATTTCGTAGTGGATGGAAACCAATCAGTAGAGAGGAGTTCGTCATCTTCATTCAGAAGGGAAGTGAATGTACTGTTGAAATTGCTTTAAGTTTGAGGCTACTCTACTCAGAGACCAAAGTAATAGAGGGGAGAGTGTGCTCCCAGGGGCGTAAAGGGGAAATGGTTATATTTCTATTTTTGTTATATCTTAGTAGATAACCTTTTGGAAAGACTAATTGATGTTAACTGGTTAAATGAGACAGGAGTGCTAATTATTGGGTCAATCGAAGATATAATGGAGATATTAAATGTAACTGTTGATTGATATGGTGAGAACACTCCAGAAGGGGTCTCAAGCCAATGGTATTAGAAATATGTTCCACTATGCCTTAGGGGTCTCCCTAGAACCCAGAGAAGTTTTATTCTTCATGTGGGTATTCAACTTCCCAGTGAGAGTGAGAATTGGGATAAGGACCCCCGGAGGATATAAGGGTTATATTACTATATGAAGGTTTTTGTTTTATTTTTTATATTTGTGTTGTCATTAAGTAATCTAGACCTAGAATTAAATGGTCCAGATCTGACATTTTCTTAGTACAGTTTTCCCTCTTGTCAATCTTTTCAGTCCAAAGACTGTTTGATTAGATTTGCAAGACTCCCAAAAAAGTATTCTTACCAACCTTTATTAGGGACACTCCATCCCTGGCCAGGAGGCTTGGCATCTCATTCTCAAACATCACTTTCTTAGCCAGCTATTTGCTTCCCAAATTAATTTTTCACTTTTGCATTCCTTGACTTCAGAAAGCAACAGTGAGGACATTACAGCTCATACATTCAATTTCTTGCCCAAGCCTTCATAATCATTGGCAATAATTTGAATCTAACCTGCTATTTTATGGATGAGAAACAGAGCCCTCCCTCAAAGGACGAGTGGCTAGCTCAAGATCACGCAGTTAGTGAGAGAGACATGGTTTGAATCTAAGTCCCTCTGTTATCCAGAATACGTCATCTTCCCATTGTTCTAAATTAAATATGAAGCCAGGATGTGCTGAATTATTTGTTCACTCCTTTAGGGTTCTCGAGATACCCAATCTTCACAAGAATTTTCAATATCTGGACAAATGCACAAGCTAATTCATAATCATTTATTGTAAATCACTCTGAAATGTACACACCTTTAATGGACAAATTAACACTGTTAAATACCCTCTGTATCAGGTACATTATGAGGACAATTTCATATTGGAATCATTTCTTTAAAAAATTTTCAATTTAAAATCCTACATCTTTCCTAAAATTAGTTGTCTTCAAAGTGCTCCAAATGCCAACAATGTAACGCTTTTCTCTTGTGCTGACTAACACGGAACGCCACGGGCACTATGCTCCATTAATTCAACATGCTCCCTACCAGGCAACTTGACACACATTAAAAAAAATTTAGAAGCTCATTGTGTAATCATCATTTTCTATTTTGATGCTAACTTAATGAATGCTGCATGCACTTAAATGTTAGTAGACACTGAATTCTAGATAAACGCCAGTTAATTATGATCTGACTGCCTGATGTGGAAAATTAATGGACTTATTTGAGAGAGTAGCTGAAATACCCATGCACCAGTGACAGTGATTGATGACACTAGAAACCAGCTCTGTCAACTTGTAAATGAGAGCTTTGTTTGGCACCAGGCATATTTGCACTAGACTCCTTTACAAATGACACTGGCTATGAAGATAGACAAAAGGCAGGCTGGAGTAGTGGAGAGAATGCTAGCCTCGAAGCTAGGAAGACCTGGGTTAAAGTCCTACCTTTGTCCCATCCTGGCTGCGTGACTCTGGGTGAGTCACTTATTCTCTGAGTGCTCTGGGTAACTCTCTAAGACTGCAAATTGCAGAGAAGGAGTCAAGCTACATCAGTAGAGGGAGTTTCCTCATCTGGGAAGTTCCCATACAAATAAAATCATAGGTCCAGACCATAACCCTACGAGGAGAGATGAATCACAGGTCCAGACCGTAACACTATGAGAAGAGATGAAGTATTTAAGCAAGCCACAATTTACAGGACCAGCTGGGTGTATAACTTTAAACACAAAGTTTGCAGAGCAGAAAACAAAATTAGCAAAAAAACTGAAGTATCAGTAAGCTTAGTAACAAGGTAAAAAATAAGAGAGGCATTTCCCTTTTTCTCTTCTATATTATTTTAAGTCAACTTTTCTCTTTCCTAGAAGAAAACAAAACAATCCCAGCCCTTGAATACACTTTCTTAAGAAGCATACTTAAATTTCCCTCTTTTGTTTGTTTTCTCACTCCGTCTACTGGATTCTTCATGTAGTATATCTCAAAAGCCATGTTTGATTAGTTACTAAAAAAAATTTCAAGCCATAACTTAGAAAGACTATTTAATTCCTTCATCCAGTCAGGGTCAAGACCACGTATAAGTTTGTGACTGTACATTTGACATGTAACTATAAAGACTATTCCATATCCTACATCTTGGAACACTAACATTAAATAACATCTATGCTGACTTTTCCTCTTACATTTCAATTAGGAGTTTGATTTGAGACATTAGACAAGCTGATTCTTAAAACAAATCACCCCAAAACAAAACCACAACAGATTCCCCCCACCCCCAACAAAATGAACATCAAGACTGCATTGCTCAAAGCAAAAAAACCAATAAGTAAACAGCATAAATTTTGGATAAAAGGTCAAATAGTCAAGCACTGCCATCCCCAGTCCTCTCTTTACGGGATTGGATCATCTGCTTGGGAACCCGTTTAAGATCAGTGGCCAGCCCTAACCAGGACATGAAGTCAATGAACCATGTGGTCGGGTTGAATTTTAAGCCAAATTCACTGGCAGAATAATCGAATGGGAAGGTGTGGTGGTAATTATGGAAGCCTTCACCTAGAAAACAAAGAAAACAGTTAAGAAAATCAGTCAGCTTCTTTCGAGGTAGAATGCTGATGCAAAATAATAATAGTAATTACAAAAGACATTTGGATACCACTTCAGTCTGCAAAGCCCTTTAACATTCATTTGAGCCTCACGAGAGGCTCTGAGGTAGGTGTCTTGGTTCAGGTCAATGATAACAGTGTCAGAGAGAAAAACAATTTTGAAAGACTTTTTAGAACTCTGATTAATGCAATGACAAGCCATGAGTCCAGAGGACTGAAGATGAATCTCACCACCCAACTCTCACCAGAAAAGTCAGGGACAGAGAATTCAAAATGGGACCTATATTTTTCGACATAGGCAAATAAAGGAATTTACTTTACTGAGCTATGCATACTTATTGTGAGGGTTTTGTTTTGTTTTATTGTTCAAATATGGGAAAGATGGGAGGAAGAGATAATAAATTAATGCTTATAAAATAAAATTTAAAATAAAGTTTTAAAACCATATTTAGTAAGGATGCAATAAAATTGTCCTCTATACTTAATTGGCACAGGAGACTTATGTTTGAACTGTTGACATAGCTTCCCAGTCAGGCATATAAGGTCAGGGCACCAGGAGTAGGAGGAGTTCCTTACATTTGATTTTCCTGTTGCTTTGAACATCAACACATTTAACTAGTGTCCATATGGAAAAGAGGGGAAGTACCTCCAATTGAGCCATTACTGTATCTTTGCTGGTTATCTTTACTATAATATTAAGTAAACTTTTTTTGTTAAAAGTTTTTTAAGTAGCAGTGAAGAATGGTGTAAGACTTAAATAATCATGAATGCATCTTTCACCAATTTTTAACTACATATAGAGGAACCATATACTCTTGTTAGAGATCCAGGAGGGTACTGGAGCAGCTCAAATAAGCTCTCAAGAGCCAGTTGTTAAATTTTTAATGTGAGCTTTGGCACCTTGGAACCCCTTGGAAATTGGCAAATGCTACAAATCTGAGCTTAATTTGTTGTTTTGTTGATTTCAGGAAACAATGGGAAAATGTTAATAACACAGATTAAATTTAAAAGTGTGTCTGGCAAACATTTCCCACCCACCCCCACTTCTTAACTCATTTTTCACCATTGCTGGCACATCCCTGTATAGATTCTATACCGCTTTTTGGATCCAGTAATTAGATCCATCTCCTACCTCGTTGCCAAGTTTTTCATCTCTCTACGCTACCTTAGGGCAGAAAGGGCTTCATTCTTTGTTTTTGTATCCCCATGCCTAGCACAGTGCCTGACACATAGTAGGTATTTAATCAATGTTGATTGATTATGAAGGGGATGGCTTCAGAGACGTGAGAAGAACCAGAAGAACTATTTGTACAATAACAACAATGTTGTCAAAACAATCAATTTTGCAAAGTCTTGGGAACACTGATCTACCCAACCAACTACAGTTACAGAGAACTCATGATAAGACAGGCTACTCATCTCCTGATAGAGATGTGATGCACTCAGAATACAGATGGCAACATATTTTTTTGACATGGCCAGTGTGGAAATTTGTTTTGTTTGACTTACATGTTTGTAAGAGAGGATTTTGTTTTTCTTGCTTTCTCAGTGAGAGGGAGAGGTGGGAGAAGGAGAGAAGGTAGATCTTCATTTGAAAAAAAATTAAAAATTTAATTAAAAAAAGAGGAAAACACAAGTGTCCATCTACTTGGAAAAATGCTGATTTATTGATTTCTATCAAGAGTCTCTGTCTGACTTAGGGGCAGATAGTCCATGTAACTCCCAGCTTGATTTCTGCATGTGAAACCTGTCACCTCTATTTAGACCAAGGCTACTCTTCCAGGAAACTGCCAAGGATTCTTGGGGCCCAGGATCCCCCAAGATCTCAACTCTAAAAGAGCTGCTCTCCTATTCAAATGGGTAGGAGTAGGAAAGACAGAAAAATAAAAGTAAGCCCAAAGAATAAGACCATTGTCCTTTCTTTGCTTTACCTCATTCCTGGATAAAAGAAATGTATGTATAAAGCAGAATAATCCTTTCCAGGCTTTGAACCTACTCAACACCTCCAATTAGAAGGTGATTTAAGCTGTTGTTCACTATATGTCACCAAATCGATAATAAGAAATAATAATAATAATAATTTTTCTTAATATAAGAAAAAAGCAGATCTATAAGATAAGTAGGGAACAAATACAAATATGGGAGACCAAGAGATAATTCCTCAAAGAAAAGTGATAAAAGCATATAAATAAACAGTTCTCAAAAGAATTGGACACCATTAACAGACATATACTAGATTGTTCTATATCCCCAATAATAAGAGAAACACAAATCAAAATAATTCTGAGGTTTCATCTCACACCAAGCAAACTGACAAAGGAGACAAAAGATGGAGGGAGTCAACGCTGGAGGGATTGTGGAAAGACAGGTAAATACATTGTTGATGGAGCTGTGAATTGGTCTGATCATTCTATTTTTTTTTTGGTTGGGCAATGGGGGTTAAGTGACTTGCCCAGGGTCACACAGCTAGTCTGATCATTCTAGAAAGCAATTGGAATTACGATAAGGTAACTACAATGTCCATACCTTTTCACTTAAAAAAGGTATGGTTTGCAAAGTTCGCTCTCTCTCTCTCTCTTTCTCTCTCTCTCTCTCTCTCTCTCTCTCTCTCTCTGTCCCTCCCCTCTGCCCCTCCTCCTCTCTCTCTCTTTCTCTCTCTCTCTCTTCATATAAATATATGTGTATGTATCCCCTCCTTTGCTCCTTTGATCCTCATAACAACCCAGTGAGATCGATGCTATCATCATCTCCAATAGATTAGAAAACTGAGGTGTAGAAAAGTTAAGTGACTTTCAGAGGTCTTCCTGACTCTAAGTCCAACACTGTATCCACCATGCCATACTGTCAAAAACAGAAGGAAAGGTCCCATATATTACAAAATATTTAGAGTAGTACTTTTTATCATAACAAAACACAGGAAGCAAAATAGATGCTCATTGATTAGGGAAAGGCTAAACTGGGGACACAGGAGTATATTGGAATATTACTGTGCCATTAGAAATGATGCATACGGAGAGTTCAGAGAAGTATGGGAAGACATATGAACTGATGAAAAGTGAAGTAACGAAAATAATATACCTAATGAGTACAACAATGTAAACAGAAAGAACCACAGAAAGTCTCAAAGTGTTATTCTATTTTCTTATTTTATATTTACTGTCTTATATTTTTCTTTTATATTTTTAATAAGAGATTTTATATTTATTTTTTAAAATTATCTTCTTATTTTTATCCTGAAGAAAATAAGAGAAAATGCAGCTCCCTCCCTCTTTAGGTGAACTAATACTCATTCACTGATTCAGACTCCCAGGTTGAATGAGTTAACTCCCCCTAGGTTAAATTGCCATGAGAAAACAATCTAATTATACCTTATTATTATTATTATTATTATTATTATTATTATTATTTTGTTGTTATTCCTCAAAGAAAAATCTTTTTCACTGAGTTATATTTACATCAAACACTCCACTTTTATAGAGAATCAACAGAAGAAATGTCCATTAAAATAAAATATCTTCACTGTCTGCTGAACAGTGGTTGAAGAGATGTCCACCTTACTCCCAACATCCCTCATCTAAGAATCCATTCAGGACTGAGGGTTGGTCGTAGGCAGAGGAGAAGATGGGTGGAGTAGAGGGAAGGAAAAAGACTTCATCTCCTGATGAATTTGCATACTTACTTTATTAAACAATGAGAACTACCTTCCTTCTTTGCCTTAGCTGCCTGGAAATGGAGCTAAATTTGAGACTTAATAGCAACATCTAATTCATTCCAGATGCCCAGTAAAGTTTGCTTTCTCTATCTCTGTCAACTGGATTTAGTCCCATTTTTATTTTTATTTTGAATTGTCTCACTTTGTGTTGTGTTTAATTTTGTAAGCTGCCTCTGATTCCTTTTGCAAACACTCATGGCACAAATCCTAAATAAGGATACTTTATATGCTAACAGCCCAGTGAATGAGACAGACAATCCACACTATAGATTTGGTTACCATATGTCCTGAATTCTGTTGGAAATAGCAATTTCAAGAAAGCAAAGTGTCCTTTAAGGATCTTTTGCCAAAGGAATATTATTTATTAGACTGTATGTCCCAGTTTGCCCAGAGGTAGCTGATGGCATGGTTGATAGAACTCTGGGCCTGGAGTCAGAAAGACCTGAGTTCAAATCTGGACTTACAGATACTTAGTAGCTGTCTGACCCTGGGCAAGTCACTTAATTTCTATCTGCCTCAGTTTCTTCAACTGTAAAATAGGGATAATAATAGTACCTACCTCCCAGAGTTGTGAGGAAGATCAAATGAGCTGAAATTTGTAAAGCACGTGGCATTAATGAATGCTTTTTTCCTTCCTTTCTTTTGAGTTGTGAAATGCCATTATAGTGATCAGAAGAGGCTACAGCGATCAGGAAAGACTTCCCCGAGGGAAACAGGACTTCAATGGAGCCTTGAGGCATACGCAGAATTCAGAAAAGGGGAGAGATTGTTCTAGGCTAAGGAATTGAGTTTCCAAATCTCCCACCTTGGTATACATGTGATGATAGTCTATACAGAGAAATGACATGTTTAGGGAGAGGCAGATGCAAGGCAGAAGGAAAGGCCCAGTGGTTTTTAAGGTTCTGCAGCAAGGCAGATGATAAGGTTCAGTTAGCAAGCAACCCAGATTGGCTGGAGCCTCAAGGGGATTTAAAGCTAGTGTACAAACACATCTTTTTCAATGTTGGGTTCAACTGGTAAAGTCTTATTTGGTTTTGATACTGAACCATTTGACAGTGTCAAGGACTCAATGACGAGAGTCCTCGGCTGCCTCCGCTGCTTTGGCTAGACTGGTTTGCCGACCCCATTGGCAGCAGTTGCTCAACAGCTGAGGTTGATGGTAAAGGTGATTGTGTGGCCACGTCTTCAGTGGGGTTGGTCTACCAAATGGTGACAGTGGACACTGGGATGGATGTAGAGCTGGTGGTATGGGGGATGGGATGCTGCTACTTATCTTGGGGATGTGTTTTTGGGTCACCTACACCTAGGGCTGAGGGGAGGTGGGGGTTATGGCAATGCTTTGCTCTGCTTTGCTTTGCTTTGACTTGCCTACTTGCTCGTGGTGGTTGGTGTTGATGACGGTGATAATGGTGGGGCTATATCTCTTCAGAAGCCAAGCGGAACAAATCTACACATCATAATCCTTCAAATAACTGAAAACAGCTCTCATATTTCCCATAAGTCTTCTGTTTTCAAAGCTGAAACATCTGCTGGGAACCTTTCCCTCCATTTCCCAATATGCCAGTTTATGAAATTATCAGATAAATGGCAGCAATTCTACCAAATTCTATCAAAAGCATATGGATTGACAGTGTTAGGATGAGTTTCAGTTAAAAAAAAAGATATAATAACAATAACAAAGAGGGTAAAACTGCACGGTGAGTAGCATTGGTTCTATATCATACCTATGTTCAATTCCACTATTACTGTAGGTGTTTGATCAAGGGAGGTTTCTCAGTCAAATTGATGAACTTACAAGAAGTGAAGCCTTTGTTTGATACTTCTGAAAGTATCTTTCTATGGAGGATGTGAACACACCCAAATGCATATCCCTCAAGGGACTTGGGATATCTCCCGATTAAGTCTTTGAGACTTGGGATGTCTCTGAAATGATATGGTTGGCTTATACTCCTATGGAATGGACATAGAAGGGGAATATTCCTCATGCCCTTGTTGTAGCCCTGGGAGGGCAACAGATTCATGAACAGACCTGGGTCCTTGCCTCCATAGGAGCCATTAACGGCTGCCTTGAAGGCATAAGAAACCTCAGAGCAGAGGTCTTGGCCTCAGCCTCGAAGCTGTGAAGAGGGAACCTCATTGTTCAAGTGGTGAAAGTTTTTGAATCCCAGCCTCTTGGATAGAGGAGGGTAGATTTTCTTCATAGCATGATCCCAGAATCCAGCCTTTGAAACAGAGCTGGGAGATTTCCAAGGCAGCACTGGCCTTGGGGGATGGCTTCTCAAGCCACTTCAGATCTTAAGTTCTATAGTCTAAGCTTCTGTTAGAGGAGGAGTCCCTGAGAGTCCCTGAGTGGTGCCAGCCTTTTGTAGGGAAGAGGGTTGAGCACCTGGCTCTTGTAGCTAGAAGAGTAGCAGTGGACCACAGGTCAGCCAGAGACCTGTAATTGCATTCCACTATTACCTTAAGTTGTTAACTGAGGGAAATCCCAGGGAATGGGAAGGCTGTTTCCCAATGGGAAAGCGGTTTCCATCTGGGGACAGTCTAAGCTCTGAGTAGCACCATTAGCCTAGATATCTATATTCACCTTTATGGGGTTAAAAGTGAGATCCAGGGGCAGCTAGGTGGCGCAGTGAATAGGGCACCGGTCCTGAAGTCAGGAGGACCTGAGTTCAAATCCAGTCTCAGACCAAACATTTGACACTTACTAGCTGTGTGACCCTGGGCAAGTCACTTAACCCCAATTGCCTTTAAAAAAAAAAAGCAAAAAAACAAAAAAAAGTGAGATCTATCAGAATGTTGGGGATTTCCTGTCAAGTTACTCCAAGCTTGTTTCTCCCAGAGGGGAGCCTATGAAAGGCAGAACTCACCAGAAACGAGGGAGAATTGCGGTTTTTTATTTATGGGTTATATGTCCTTTATGTGTTTCATGCATTATTTATAGGTTCCTATGAGTCCTTTTTATTTTCTCCATTTTCTATGGGGTGAAATATAGGCTGTCTTGTACCTGAAAGCTGTATTAGTACCTTAAATATTTGTGTGGAATCTGGGGGACCTATTTTACCCACATTTGTGGAGATACAAGCTCTATTCTGAGATTTTCCAAGAATGGAAGCTCTGGGTGGGGGCATAATGAGCCAAAGAGAGATTATGATTTTTGGGGGTAAGATTACACCTGGTGCATATGAGCCAAGAGTCTGTGGGACCTGGGCTGCAAGTTGCATTATGATCCCTAATCCTTTGGGGTGTTAATTTGTGTGCCTATGAGCTCATGGTTTTTATAAGAAAACTCTGCTGTACTGTTTCTATTTCTATAAAGCTTATGATCTCCTTTCTTCCTACCTTTCTCACTCAAAGATGTGGTCTTTGTTTTTATAGCTGTGGTTGCCGTGGCACTCTATAAAGCAATTAATTAAAGCCCACAATTAGCCAAAGCTGTTTGTGTGGAGAGGGTAACACCCACTTCTTCAGCCATTACTGATGGCTCTTCAGGATTCCCATATGACTCCCCACCACCCAATCCAAGTCAGAACTCCCTTGCTCTCATACTCCCCACTCACCAATTGCACCCAAAGTGACAAATGGGTTCTCCCGGGGGCTGATGTGCTTGTCATAGGGCCGGTTACCATACATATGGGCAGCACTGTTGACCAACCAGGTAACATTGAGGGAGATGGTGTAACGGAGGATGAAGGCCAGGAAATAGGAGTTCCATAGACTCTCTCCCCAGGCATACCAGGGCACCAATGTGGGTACAGCAAAGCACATGAGCAACACAGTGGTCTTATAGTACCTGAAAGACAAGATGGCAGAAAAGCTGTAAGCAGGACCTCACTGTCACTGGAAAAGAAGAGAAAGAGCTAATTACTGGAAGGGGCCATCCTTGTCCAAGAGACAGTCAACAGGCCAGCTCTTCCAACACGTCCTGTGGAGACAATAATCCATTGTGCCTCCATTCTCTAGACAACTTTCAAGAATCAGTTAATCAATATTTTTCCACCACTTCTTTGGAAAATGTAGTGTCAATATACATGTCATATATCACCATTAAAAAATTCATTCTAAAAAGGAATGTTCCCTGCCCTTAAATTGTTTACATATAAAACTAATCATTCAAACAGCTTACATAATAAATAACATTTGTACGAATATTTTACAAATGCTTTTACATCATCATTATCATCATAGCTAACATTTACATAGTGATTTAAGGTTTACAAAGCCCTTTGCATACACTATCTCATTTGATCTTCGCAATGAGATAGGTACTATTACTATCCTTGTTTTACAAGGAAGGAAACTGAGGCTTAGAGAGGCAAACAACTTGCCCAGGATCATATGGTTAGTAAATAGGAGCAGGATTCAAACTCAGGTCTTCCTGAATCTAATTTTATCTTCACAACAATTTTGGGAGGGGATGTAGGTTAATTAGGTTGAGTTAAGAGATTAAGCGACTTCTACAGAGGCACAGAACAGGATTCAAACCCAGGTCTTCTGTCCTCAAGTTCCATGCTCTTTTCACTGTACTGGACATCAACATGTGAAACCATCCAATATGTGTACTTTGATGGAAAGAACATTGAACTTGGAACTGAGTTTGAATACTGTGTGACCTTGGTTAAGTCATTTGCCTTGCTGAATCTCAGTTTCCTCATCTTTAGAATGAAGTGGTTGGTCTAGATGACCTCTATGTTCCTTCCAGCTCCAGATCTAATATCCAACGTGACAAAGCTTGGCCACACAAAACCAAGTTCATTTTTGAGACAAAAAGAAACCAAGAGAAGATAAAGAGGCAAAATCAGTTATCTCGATCTTATTAAATAATGAGTGGATTATTCATAGCTCCTCATTTTTCAGTCTCTCTCATGCCATACCAATGGATGCTCTTCTGAAGAAATTGGGTGAAAGAGAAGCAGGGAAAATGAAGAGGAGAGGGGGACAAAAAAAGAGAGAGACAGAGAGAGAGAAAGGGAAGGAGGGGGGAAAGAGAGATTAAGGCAGAGACAGAAACAGAGAATGAGAAACAGAGATAAAGAGGCAGAGGGATACAGAGAAAAGGGGGGGGAGGGAGAGAGGGAGATAGACATTAAGACACAGAGAAAGACACAGGGATAAAGAGACAGAGACAGGAGGGAAAGAGGAAGAGAGAGACAGAAAAGAGACACAGAGGTAGAGAGAAGGAGAGAGTGATGGAGATAGTAAGACAGAGGAAGAGACAAGGATAGACAGACAGGAGAGAGAGAGAGAGAGAGAGAGATTGTGACACATTCTGCCAGGGTCACAATCCTGAGGCTGTCCTTGAAAATCTTTCCCTGAGCTCCAGACATGCATCTATATGATCATCTTAGACCTTCTAAGCCTTCCCTTGTTTCTAGTATGAGTCCCTGCCAGTCCTTCCCCTGGGGTTGTGGGTTCTTTCCTTCCCATCCCCCACCCCCTTAAAAAAGACTCAAGCAGCTGGCTTCAGTTAATTACAATCTCAGGTTCTCATGGGTTATACCACTGCAATTCAGCTAAGCTAAAGTCACTTTAAAAAACCCCAATCATTTAGATCACCACTCATGGGGTTTCCTTGCTTAATAACATTCAGATCTAGAAAGTCCCAGCTAACAACGCTCAGAATAATTCCCCTCTGCCTTCCTCTCCCCCTGCTACTTCCCCAGCACTTGTCGGGTCTTTCCTCACTTAACGAGCTGCTTTTTTGGGGGAGTGGAAGAAAGGAAATGTTTCTGTCTTTAGACTTGAGTGCTTCCTTGAACTAGACACATTCACTTAGTTAGAACTGAGCTGGACATGAATTGATCAAACCTTTCCTCAGTGGTCCTGAAGCCAGCATGGAGGGAGACGCTGCAGCTTTGTATTGGCCAAAATAGAGGACCAAATGCAGAAGTTTTGCTGCTGACAGATAGACTTGATAAAAGTAGGAAAGGTGGAGAAAAACGACTTTGTCTATTTCATTTACCTTTTTGTTCTGGCCTAAATTCATATATACATATACATATATATACATATATATATATATACACACATGTACCAGTACGTGTGTGTATGTGTATGACAGAGAAACAGGGTGATAAAGAGAAAGAGACAGAAGGAAATAGAGAAAATAAAGAAATAGAGAGGTGGAGAAAGAGACAGAAACAGACAATAAGAAACAGAGACAGAGAAATAGAATGACAGAAACAAAGACAGAGAAATATAGACAGAGAGAGACTGAAAAAGAAGAAAGAGAGGGGGATGGGGAAGAGAGGAAGGGAGATAGGGAGAGACAGAGAAACAGAGAAAGAGACTACACACACAAATACATATATGTGTCATATATGTATGCGTAGATGTGCGTGTACGTATATACATACATACATACATACAGTCAGAGAAGTTATTTTTGCCCAAGATAAATGACTGTGATTTTCTTTAAAATAAAAATATTTAATCCTAGCCTAGAGAGTTCTAGGGCAGATAGCTGGCACAGTGGACAGAGCACCAGGCCTGGAGTACGGAAGATCTCGGTTCAAATCCAGCCTCAGGCACTTTCTAGCTGTGTGACCCTGGACAAGTCACTTCACCCTGTTTGCCTCAGTTTCCTCATCTGTAAAATGAGCTGGAGAAGGAAATGGCAAACCACTCCAGTATCTTTGCCACGACGACGCCAAATATGGCGACAAAGAGTCAGACATGACTGAAATGACTCAACAACAAACAGAGCTCTGCCTGGTTTTTGTTAGCTGGGTAGAGTGGCTCACAGCCTCTGGCCATCACTAAGGAGCTATATCATCAGGAAGAAGCTTTCTAGGCCTTTCACTCTATCAGAATGGAGCTGAGGTGCTCGGTAGGTAGTTCTGAAGAGATGAAGCTTAGAAGCTGATAGCATAGAGCCGCCAGAAAGACTCAGAGAGTGACATATTAACCCAAAGGGGAGGAAGGAAGGAAAGAAAGGGCAAAGGGGGCGGGGTGCAGCGTCCACCCCCTGTCCAGGGGCAGAAGAGCAGAAGTGCTCCATGATGTGATGCAACGCGATGCCCGGGTGTGGATCCAGCAGAGACCAGCGTGACGACATCACTAGAGGACATCAGTCTGTCTGTAGTGTCTCGACATGTGCCCAGGTCACACATGTTCCCTATAGGTGTGTCCCCATGCATTCTTCCTATGCCTGTCCACTCCTCCTCCTGATGGTGAATTAATTTATGGGAGACATGTTACTTTTATTACTGTTTCAGGAATGCATGTGATTTAAACTAATTGCACCTGGCTAACTCAGGGGTGGGGAACCTGCAGCCTCGAGGCCACACGTGGCCCTCTAGGTCCTCGGGTGAGGCCCTTTGACTGAATTCAAACTTCCCCTTAATAAAAGGATTTATTCTGTAAAACTGTAAAAAAAAAAAAAGACTTAATAAAAGGATTTGTTCTGCTAATTGGTTAAAGGGGGGGGGGGGTCATGAGCCATGATTCTGAGTAAATGTATACTCATAGAATACTTTGAACCTGTGATAAATTTTCTGGGTGTTCCCCAGAACACCTCAAGTCCAATATGCAGTTATTTTGCTTATTTCCTGGCTTTTTGTAAACTTGGCTTCAGACTAGAAAAAAAGTTACTCTGACCTTATCCCTTCTTCACTGATTAATCTGAGGTGGGACATAGGAGAGTGAGGCAAGAGATAGTGGTTTGGAGAACCCCTTTCTCCTATAGAGTAGGTTCTGGAAACTCCATTAACATATTAACCAAGACAACATTGTATACAATTGTATACAATATTGTTTTAAGAATGACTTTGGGGGCAGCTAGGTGGCACAGTAGATATAGCTCCAGCCTTGGAGTCAGGTGGACCTGAGTTCAAATTTGGTCTCAGACACTTGACCCTTACTAGCTGTGTGACCTTGGTCAAAGTCACTTAGCCCCATTGCCTAGCAAAAAACAAAAAGAATCAGTAAAACAAAAGTAAAAGAATGAAAAAATAGAAGAAAAAAGAATGATTTTGAGCAAATAATTTTAACTGTTATAAATACCCAAAATAACTATAAAGCATATATGAAGAAAGAAGCTATTTGTATCCAGAGAAAGAACTGATAAATAGAAGTATGTATAGAATAATTTTATATGCGTGTGTATATATATACACACATGCATACATATATACATACATATATACATGTGTGTATGTGTGTATACATTATATATTATATATATAAATACCTATTTGTATCTAATGGTAACTATCTCTAGGGTAGGCAGGGGGAAGGAGGAAAAATATTTACATGATAATTTTGTTGTATATTTGAAAGGAATATCAAGTTGTACATAGTAGATTTGCAGTTTCATGTGCAATCATATTTTTATTATGCTATGTCATGGAAATGCTTGTTTTATTCCATAAATTAAAAATAAAATAATTTTTAAAAGAATCAAAGCCTGGGTAGGTCTAAGAACATAGGGTTAGACAGATTCCTAACCAGGGTAAAATATTTTATGGAGCCATGGGAAGGGCTTTGAGTGACAGGTTAAAGAGTTTATATTTGATGTGGTAGGACATGGTCAGCTCCTGGAAGTTTTTGAGTAATGGAACAATATATCCAAACCCGTGCATTAGGAGCAAAGACAAAAAAAAAAAATTATAATCAGCCTAACAAGCTATAACCTTTGCCAAGAAATAGCTTTGAATTTTTCTCCCTGTCCAAGTTATTTACTTCAAAGACTAAATTTCCCTATGTAATAATAACAAGCCTGTCACATAGATAAAATGAGTCTTGATGGTGATATAATGTGATTTGTCAAAACATCCTCAGTGACTCAAGCAA